CTCACGTATGCAACATTTAACTAACAATGTTTGAAAAAATAATCTACATAAATGGCACTAAGATGAACTAAACTAAAATTTCAATGTAATCAGATAAAAACAATACATAGTAGATTCAAAAATAACAGCAAATGTAAATTATGTTAGTATAAACAATTAACCAATTTGCTAAGTACAAAAAGGAAATTCGAAATTTGAAAAACAATAAATTTCAAATAAATTCACTAATTAAATCTTTTTATAAATTTATGAAGGTAGCTGGACAAATTTTGAGATGGACTTTCTTGTTTAGAGACGAATTGACAATTTCTGAAATACTCAAAAATAACCACTTACAATTTTATCGCAAAAACCATAACACGTGTTAAACTCTCACTGTTGATTCATATTAAATATATATTATTAATATCCGAATTTCCTTTTAATGTTATCTGCATTGTGTATAGAAAATAATGATTGAGCTAGCGTTATCATTATAACATTATCACATCAAAGAATACAACAAATTTTGTCTACATAAAGTTATATGTAAAGAAACATTATTATGTAAGTGCATGTTTTTGACAATTCAATACTCTTATTTCAAAGGTATAAGATTCAAATTAGTCAATATCTACTATATAAAAATAAGTCGGGTTTTCCTTCCTGACGCTATAACTCCAGAACGCACGAACCGATTTCCACGGTTTTGCATTCGTTGGAAAGGTCTCGGGCTCCGTGAGGTTTATAGCAAAGAAAATTCAGGAAAAAATAAAAAAAAAACTTCTTTTAATCACCAAACGAAATGTTACATATAACGAAGCCATCTGGTGGCGAAACGGAGTTCGCGGGGTTTGCTAGTATTCTATATATATTTCAGTGGCTTGATAACTTCGTATACTTACAAAAATATGAGTAATAGAGTCTGTGCGGAAAGAGAATGGGATTTAGATTGGAGGGCGCTGTAGTGCTTTTCTACCGTATTTGTAAGGTTTTACCCCTTTAAGACATGATTAAATACAAAAACCGCAAGAAATCACAACAACAAACAAATCCGTATCAATACAAAACTTTGACGTTTTACAGATTGCTGGGTTTGATTGCCAAATAAAAATCTTAATGTTAGTTCCGTTTTTCGCCACGCCCAATCTCTTTCCGCACAGACTCTATACGTTTCGTCTTCATTCGTTCAAATTATAATACATATCTACTTAATCTACATTGGAAGATGAAAGATATATTCTTCATTAACCTAAAAACATGAAAAAATCACACATTTTCATATCACAATTCATTAGCTTTCATGAGGTGTAAAATAATACATAAAATAGGGTAAAAACATGATCGGAAAATATTAATTTCTACATCGTAAATGTAGGGACACATACATAAAACAGTATTTTTTTTTCCTATCCAAGCCATTGCGCAGCCAAACGACTGACTTCAGATCGGTCCAGACCTGATTGAACGAACTGTACTCATAGACATGTGTTTCCAAGAGGGAAAGGTAGAGACAATTTTGTCACCCGTTGAAGGAAAGTAATCCAGACATTCAACATTCAATCAATCACTTAACCTAAACAATGATATTTTGGTACGTTTCTATATTTTATCCTTTCACGCGTAAAACATAACAATAGGATACTCGTATGGATCTCATGAAAACTGGATATTTTCCATTCAGTTATATATATAATTAAATATATATTTCAATAAAAATCGACAATGTAGGTTCATTATCGATTACTTTTCACGACATTATTCATTTGCAATAAAGTCGAAAATTAACGAATGACTTACAATAGTATAAAGACTTGCATTAAACTTTTTTGTATGTTATAACTGTAGGCTCTCGTACTATATATTTAAGGGGCTATCATCTATATTATTTTAATAGAGTGCCTTTTCCGTTTTTCACAGAAATTTCGCTAATATCACGAAATGAGTAAAACATTAAATCATTATTATACGGGCGAGGGATTAGAGAGTAACTACGAACCTATATGAAATGGTTTAAATAAAATTTTGTTAACTTCAGCATTCAGTGTTTTTTTTTTCAAATGAAAGAAAAATGAAAATTTTCGTCTAAGTAACAATATTAATCTAAAAAACAATTCTCATATTAACGTTTCATTACATAATAACTATGGTTAACTTGTTGTGATTTCATTTAAGATTGCCAACCTTACTGCAACTTAATATGCAGTATAAGCAGAAAAGCTTAGCTTGACTAATCAAAAAAATAAAATAATCGCTACTCAAAACGAGAACTTCATATTTATCAAAAGAAATGTCATAAAAAATTCATAACTTTGTAATACTTTGCAAGACAATGTTAATGAACAAATATTTGAACAAACGCCAATGCGTTTTAACAATGTTTACTCTCTACATCATAAAGCCAAAATAGAAATACATAGATCAACCAAATTGTACAATACATTGTTGGTACAATGTTGGCAACCTTAGATACTATCTGAAATAAAATTCTTTCGCCAACATTTTTGTTAAGGATATCACATAAAGATCAGACTATATATTTTAAATAATATTTAGCACCTTTATAAAATCTCAATAGGATATTATAACATAGTTCTGGTCGTTTACGTATTAAGAGGTTATAAGGCTTCAATGTTCAACACAATTTCATGGTCAAAAATTACAGCGAAAATTGAAGTGTAATTTGCTATTCCATAAGAAGAAAATGTTTAACTCCATTTCTGCATTTATGAATCGAACTATTATAAAATTACATAGCTTATAGAAATTGTACGTTGATAAGAAATAAAAATGATAGATATGTAATAGTTGTAAATTAACTGTATTCCATAAGGTCGGAAATTGACTGCACAATCCAAATATCACTTAATTGTATTCCCCGTCTCTTCTTTGCCCTACAAGAGGAAAAGAGACTACTGTATAGATAAAGACTACGTGCAATATAATCTTTAAAGTATTTAATATTTTAAAAATACATCTCAAAAAACATTTAAGCCATCAATAGGTCTAAAGCTAGATATTATAAAGATATTTACGTCACTATTACGTATATAAAATAACAACTCGCCTACCTTAAATTATGTGTCCTTTTTTTTAACATGTACTTATAAAAAATCAAACTTAAACGTCTTCTGATTCGCAAGCAATTATCGAACTTACGTAGTTGTAAAGAAGGTACAAATTATAAATGTCAGACGGTCTCAAAGTAAGTTAAGTAAATACATTATTTTTACGAATAACCATCTTCGTGACGGTAGTCTTTAAAAGCCATCGATAGATGCACGGTTAGATTAAAACTAAAAGGAAAGATACGGCGCTCGCGGCTCAAAAATTATCCGCTTAAATTGTGGTGCATGACCACAATTCGCTTTAGTCACAATTGGACATCCAAACACGATGCATGTGCACTCAATATAACAATATTGCGTATATTCTGAGTTATAAAAATAAAACAATGCCTTCGCTGCTTTTATAAAGAACACAAAAATAAAAAATGTACAGTTTTTCAATTATTGCAATATATATTTAAATAATTTATTTATCAAGTTATAATAGAACACCAAATATGTATAAATAAATGCATATCAATTTTATGTTAATGATAAAAAATAATGAAATGTAAATATTTATTTAATGTTATGTCTATTTAATTAGGACAAATTATGAAATAATATATAAACATAATTATCACTTGTATTACTATTAAGTGTTACTATTGTTTGTTAGAAATTAAGAAAATTTGCAATGCCCTTGCAGGGCTCATGTTGTGAATCTTTATTTTAAATTTAAGAACCCATGTATGTACCAACATGAAGCAATAAAGAATATGATATGATATGATCAAATAGTTCAAGATCAAATAACAAATGCCACGGCAACACTTTTCATTCGTAAAACTATAAAATCATTTTTCCTCAAAACTAGGTTTGATGCTAGTATTAGCGTACCGTATCTTCGCTTTTTGTTTTAATCTAAGGATGCACGACGTTTTAGATAAAGCGATTTTATAATCAATAAAAAATCACAACATAAAGGTAGTACGCTCGAGAACGTACACAACACTATACGTACGTACATAGCAAGGTAACATAATTGTAACACATCATATTTTGATTTAAAATATTAACTAACAAATGTTATGCAGCAATTTGTTTTCACTTTGCCCAATTTTTGTTTTGTAACTTAAAAATTACTTTTAATTAAATGCATTGATCAAGTAAAAGACGACCCTATTCGGCTCGTAATGCAATAAATGGCAAATTAACTACAATTATAAAGTTCATTGTTCCGCCAACTGCCTTTACAAAGAAATATCTTATACTCATTACATCCTTTTATTTTAAACAATTTTAATTGACATTTCAAAATATATTCTCATGGTATTTAACCACAAATAAAGCGTAAAATACATGTATACTAAATGTTTAAATACATATCTACGAAATGTATGTTTTTCTATCGTATTCACTATTTAAAAAAAATTAGGAACAAAGTCTACAAAAACTTGTATAAAGACTCACCTCTTATTCACAAATTATTAGTTAAAGAAATCTTTAGATCTTTTATTTTAGGATTGTTTTATTGCATTGATGAAAATTTAAGTGTAATAATTAGTTTTCGGGAATTTCGGGCACCAGGTGGCAGCACTATGCTGAAAAGGTGTATTCAACCGCCAAGCTCGTCGTTGTCGAAGAATCAATTTTAATCGCTCTCTTGATTATTGCGTCAAACATGTAATAAAATACATCATTCCACAGTGACGCCAACTGGTGGCATGAATTCTCCTAGAAGCCCTCAATACTTAAAGTGCGATCCTGACAGGTCGTGTCAGTCCCTTAAGTTTAAGTAGTAAAAGAAGAGGTCTGAAAATAAACTTTAATTCTGTCGCCGTAAGGAACTGAAACGACCTATCAGGATCGCAGTCTTTCTAAATTACAGAAAAAACATGTCGAATTGCGGTTCTTTAACTGATTATTTATGAATAGTAAGAACTTATTTATGTTACTTGCGTGTCCAATCCACTAAACAGGGCTGCACGGGTCTTCGTCAATTTCTAGACAGTAGTCGAGATGACTCTCCATTATAGGGTAGCTGTCGCACTTGAATTTCATGCATTTGGGACACGTGTATATCTGTGAAAGGAAAAATTAAACGATTAAAAGTTGCCATTCCATATCAACAAATTCTAATTGAAATTTCTTTTGATTGACAATTCTATGTTTTTGTTTACTATTATTAATAGCATTGAGTAGTTTGGCACACTGTGCTTTTGAAAAGGTTATTATAAACATCAAACACATTTATCAACTAAAGTAGGCTGTATTATGAACTCTTAAACCGAAATAAAAACAGTGTTGATGTGGGACGCCGTTGTACAGCACGAATAGTGATGTCTAGTTGTCACTATAGGTAAAAGCGTCAAGAGATCTTAATACGGCCCACAATTAAAAGGTTTAGTAAATTCATGCATATATAAAAAAAACTATGGTTATTTGGGCAACTGCTTTCATTGTGTATATTTTTAACGTGATATATTATAATGCAAAGTTCATGTTAAGGCTGACAGCAAAATATGAAAAGAAATAAGGCTACGCTATTCCATAAAAAAATAAAAGTCCAAATGCTTCAGAGGAGGTGAGATTTTTTTAAATGCGCTTAATACATTTGCACTGATAGTAAATTATATCACAGGATGGGCAAATATCTTAACATAACAAGCGGTAAGAATATTTATGGCACTTGAGTGTTAGATTTTTACCATTTAAAAATCTTTGCTAAGAATGGCTGATTTTCTTGTTTCCTCTTATCAACTAGTACTTATTACAAGCCTTTTTTGCATACTAATTAGAATGAAATATACTGGTGAAGTAAAACACTTTAAACTAAATTATGTACTTATTTGGATTTATTTTTATTTGTATTTATTGCTTCAAAAGGACTAAAAGTCCGTTTTCACTGATGGATTTATCTTTATGACAGAATTTTTGAATGTACACCGTAGTAGATTCACTGAAAAAAAATAGTATTTTATTTCAATCGTATCTTAAATATAGGATAGAGAAAATTAGGTTTTGCAACAGATATCTCTTAACATTACATGTATATAATGAAAATATAAATTTATCAGTAATTAAACAAAAGAAACGTGCAGTAAGTTATTAATAAACAATACAACTAATTTAGTAAGTATCAGTTAACAAGAAAAAATGCCACTTAAAAGAACAACTCAAGTTATTTATATAAATAGTAAACAGACAAACGAACAAACTGTACAACATGGTGAAAACGACTCTCACCTATAGAGATCTTGTTATTGGAATATGATCAAATAGAAACAAATCTTGTTGGCCTGAAATTTTGTAATTAAAAACAAAATGCTTTACAATAAAACAAAAAAGCGGCAAAACTTATAAAAAAAACGTACAAAGAAAAACGTAAAACTTACAAATGCGAAATAAATTAACAACAATAAATGGAAATAAATGTATCAGTATTATAAATAAATGCAATACAAATAATATAATTATATCATTTTTAGCGGATTTGAGCTGCGTTTTTTAATACTTTTATACATAGCTCTACGTTTTGGATTTTTGACAGGCTCCATTGTCCAAGTAAAGAATAAGAAACGTATAGAAATGCTTAAAAGTAATGAAACGCATCTGAAACCCATTGGAAAATGATATATTTCACAAGTGTGCGTGAAAACATAAGAAATATATATAATATTATATATATCTTAGAAAAACTGCATGGAACACATCATTTTTATACATAAACTAGCTGTCCCGGCGAGCTCCGTACCACCATAAAAAATAGGGGTTGGTGGTAGAAGGGTGAAAATTTAGGATTGTATGTATTTTTGTATGATATATCATAAAAAAATAAGAACAAAAAAATTTGTCTAAGAAAAAAATTTAAGGGTGGACCTTTAACATTTAGGGGTATGAAAAGTAGATGTTGTCCGATTCTCAGACCTACTGAACATTTATTATTCCGACTATAAAAAAATATAATACATAAAAGCCTTACAGAAATGCAAAAAAAATAAATCTTTTACATTGCAACGTAATGTTAATCTAAAGGAGATTGCTCAGCTTCCATACATGTTTGGCCTAAAGACCAATAATCATGAAAAATTGTTTCCTAGATTCGAAATTATATATAAATTACTGTAGAAACGAATATTATTGACGGACACCCCTGAAAACTTCTATAAACCATAATACACTGAACATATTAAAATAACAAAAAACAAATAAGTTATATAGTAAACTAGGGAAATCAAGCCAAGTACCGAAATTATGGATTAGATTCAGGTATATAGAGCATGTAGATTAACAGATAGTTGCCTGTTTTTAAAGTTAATGCCTATGAGTAACTTTTAAAATCAGTTGTCATTTCCGGTTATAATAAGGTACTCTGTGATGATTGTGAATGAGCCACAGATTAGAGAGAATTTTTAAACTCTCGTTTCAGTAGCTTCATTATTTTTGTTATGTTTTTAAGATAACCATATTTTAGATTTTTAGTGTATCACACCTTATAATTTTATTTATTAATTTATAGTCAGGGAACGTAGGCCCATAGATAGATACCTTACATATATACAGATTATAATGTATTTATGGAGGTGTTTGGCGAAAAATGTATGGCAATAGACTTTACGATGTCGCCTACCATCTATAATATTTGTCTGAGCACATTTGCATCTAGTGAAAATGATAATATAGTTGTGGATATTAACACACTACACTACACACTGTGGTACAGTGTAATAAAAAAATGATTTACTTTATCGATCTTTACAAAATAGATTTGTTTTTATGTTATATAAACAACTTAGATCAGTCTTTGGCTGAATGTTACTACACCCATAGCCATGAAAAATAATTCGTATGTTTTCCAAACCGGTATAATTAAAAGTCCTTTTTAAAGTAAATATATTATACAAAGGTGTCCGTTGAAATCTAATGACCGTAAATTAAATTATAAATTACGCCAAGAATTACCGTGTATGTCAATATTTTTTGTGCATTTAGGCCAATTTGAGCAATCTCCTTTAACGAAAGCTTCGTCTTTAAAACTTCAATAGAGATTGAGGTAAAGAGTTTGTACTTTTAAGTGGTAACATAAATAAACACATTATACAACATTCATGTTTAGTAGGGTCACTAAAATCTACAGCTGACTAATATGGTAGCTAGGATAAGATTTTATTTTAGTTTAGTCCAAACTTCATGGCGTTTGTGAATAAATATAAACAAACAAATCTTATTACGAGTTCAAAACAGAAGTCAAGCGCTTACCGCATAAACTTAGGACAATATATTTTGGTCACATACACTGGACATTTAGAAGAAGTTAAAAAAATACTAGAAAAAAATCCACGCGGACCAGGCAGCAGACGGGACTCTCACAGGAAATTTTCTTTAGATTTAAACTTCTAGCAGTAAAATGCTTAAAATATACATAAACATAATTTCTATTTCTTCTTTCAAATGCTTAATACTTGTAAAGGTATTCATTTGACATTGTGGGTTACCTACAATGCGAAGAGATGGCGCTGCCTTGCAGCCTAAGAAATAATAGTGAAAATTCGATACGGACAATAGGGTATTTGACAAGTTTAAGAAAACGATCTCACGTTATCGACTAATATTTATGGAGTCCGTAAAAAGTGGATATTTCAGTAAAAATAAAAAGTTGCGTATTTCAGTAAAAAATAACCCAATCAAAAACTCCATTTTCAAGTTGCCGCGAAAACGTTTTTCTGGACAATATGGCGTCTTCCTAGTGTGTGACGTCACACGACTGTTATTAAAACGTCAAACGATACAATGTAATGTCACTTTAACCGGAAGTTTAGTTGCGTGTGACGTTTAACTATGCGCGGATACAGGTACTTTAATTTCGGTTACTGCACCGCGACTCCCGCTAACTTCGCAGCTGCCGTTGAGTTTGCATCGCACTCTACCTACTACTAACACAACTATTATAATCAACCTGATGCAGTTTATAGTACATAACGATACGCGTGACCCAAGTTGCCGTGCAGTAATAGACAACTTAGGCCACAAGTATCGTATACTATTTTATAGCAAGTGTGACATAAACCCGCCCCGGACGCGGGCAAGGGGGGGGGGGGGGGAGTATTATGGGGCCGGAGGCCCCCCCGAGGGATGCGATTAGTGTTTTGAAAGTAAAATTCATGTATTGCAATCACAAAGAATTGCAATACAGACTGCAAGTCAAACTCTGAAAAGACAGAATTCCGGTTCAGATTACCATTTTGAAAGTATATTTCAAAAGGAAAAAATCAAATATCTTTACAACAAAATAGAATTTCAATGTATCCATGAACGTTTATTCCTTGATTGGCATAGTAAAGTTAAGTTACGCGTATCGTAATGTACTAATTCTACATGAGTGAAGTTGGTCAATTCATTTACACACCGTGCAGAAATAGGCAACGGAAAAGCGTGCGTAAAGTGCGGGTTTAGGTCACACTGTGCTATAAAATATATTAAGTTACATACTTAATTATAAGATCGTTATACTACATAGTTAGTTTGTAATTTATATAAAATAGCTATTACGTACTGGTCTATGGTAAAAGAGACAGAACATAGAAAGTGGTTAGAAGGGCCTTGTGGGCGGGGCAGGCGAGCCACAGTCATATTATGTGAGCAAATACCCATAACTTGACCAAAACTTGGTTCTGATTGCGTCGTTGCTCTCGGGTTTGAGCGCTGATTGGTTCGATTGTTTGATGTAACGTCATTTGAATGGCTATCATCTAAATTAAAAAAAATCAAAATTCAATATCGTTTATTCAGTCTAGGCTGTTACAAGCACTTGTGAATGTCGAAAAGCTACGCCATCGGTTCGCAAATCTACGGCGGGAGACCTTGTACTGAGAAGAACCGGCAAGAAACTCAGCAAGGGCTGTTTTTTTCTCCCTGTATTGTATACAGAGTCGTCAAATTGAAAAATGACTTCAATATGAGGTAACTCATAAAGTCACTTTCCATTACAAATGCTAATATAATAAAAATTATGACTATATAAAAAACTGGTTTAACTAAGTTTAGGAACGCCGTGTCCTGCTGTTTAGGCAAAAAAAAAATGAACGATTAAAGTTTAGTACAACGGTTAATAGTATCCAAAGAAGCAAGAGCAGACGCATCTCCGCTGGCAGCACCCGTTCACGAGCATGACGCATGAACCAACCATCGCTTCGCTCAACCATATTTTAGGGAACGCAACGACCCGCCTCACACGACACTCTATTAGGTGGAAGTGTAGTGGGGGCGAGCTGGTGACATCGGTTCCGGTACAAATGGTCTCTGATCACCCATCTAACCTATTTCTGTGTTCTGTGGTAAAAGAGCACTTGTTGTACATATAAAATGGACGGCGTGTTCGATAAAGCTTCGATGATACGGGGCGAGTTTACAAGCTGCTAGGGAACTCGCTGGCTAGTAGCTTGAAAATTCGCCCCATGTCATCGAGGTGGTACAACCTCGTCGTTTTACTGTCATGTAAAACTGGACAAATACGCGTGAGAGAGACAAAACGATAGGATAGCATATCCCAAAGCTCGTCTATTTATTGGTTATTTTTTTTAATTTCATAAGAATTTCGCTCAAGCCATTCTCTATGTGTATTACCAGTTCTAATATAAACATCCTCCAATAATACGTAAGGCCAATATTGCTCCGTTAGTAAGCAATGGCCGCTATTATTATTTAAATAATTTAAAAAACCTAGGCAACATAGCTCTTATACGCCTTTTACTTACTGGAGTGTAATTATTGAAACTGGCCGATAGCCACCATACTCGTAGAGAATGGAACGAATGACATACGAGTATCTATGAAACTCATTCTCTAGAAAGAGACAAAAAACGACAAATACATAGACAAACTATAGGCCGCCCTATCACTAACACATCATCTTCCCAGTTTTACTTTACAGTTGGACAGAAGAACTCTCATTCCATTATATGTCTGTGATTGCTAGCCACAAAATATTTTTATAGCTCATGTCATTAAAGAAAGGAATCGCCAATTAAGACGAAAAACATTCTGTCTCTTTCGCACATGCTATCCTAAGTAACGTGCGAGACGGACAGAATGTCTTGCGTCGGTATTTACGATTTCTTTCTTTAATGACACAAATTAAAACATATTTTTTCACCAGATCGTAGTCCGTTTGTTTCTTAGATTAAAACAAAAAGGGAAGATACGGTACGCTCATACTAGCATCAAATAAAATATGATCTGACTCAACTACATAAGCAACTCACACACGCACATGTCTATATATAAACATTCAATCGAGCGAGCGAGACAGAACTGTACGCTTCAACGCAGCAGGAGCGAAACGGCGAGGACGCTTCCGAGTCCGTACGGATGAGCTGTATTGTTATCCTTTTATTGATAACAAAATGGTGATTACGTAACCAGCATTCACGATTCACGATTTTTTTGAGAGAAATATGTTTAACAGTTTTACAATTGAATTGTTGCCGAGGCATTTGTTATTTGAATTTGAACTATTTGTGTTCTTTAAAAAAGCATCGAAGGCGTTGTGTTTATCTTTAGAACACAGAATATACGCAACATTGTTATATTGAGTGCACATGCAGCGTCTTAGTGTAAAATAGGGTATTTGACAAGTTTTAAAAAACGATCTCACGTTATTTACTAATGTTTATAGAGTCCATAAAAAGTGGATATTCATCATTATGTTGTATGTGTATTTCGGTAAAAAAACCAAATCAAAAACTCTATTTTCAAGTTGCCGCGAAAAACGTATCTCTGGACAATATGGCGTCTCACTGGTGTGTGACGTCACACGACTGTCATTATAACGTCAAACCATACAATCAAATGTCACTTTAACCGGAAGTTTACTTACGTGTGACGTCATTTTTGGCTCCACCAATCCCAAGCGTTTTGGGTCACGAGACAATAGACAAGAAAACTATTATCTTTATCGTGGGTTTTTAGTAAAATTATGAATATTTTTTCTATAAAAATAATAAAAACTCCTGCCAATATTCATTCTAAATACAGATGCTAAGAATTGAAACTTTATTTTTAATACTGTCATATACCCTATTGTGACTGGTCATGAACCACAATTTAAGCCGTCACTTTTGAGCAGCGAGTGCCGTATCTTCCCTTTTTGTTTTAAGCTAAGGTTTGTTTACATAATTTTCCAGTGTTTCGTGTTACTGGTTATATGGTCTACAGTAAACAAGTATCAACGTGTTGCTGCAACAGTAGAAGCGTCTTGAAAGGCTGGTCGCACACGGGGCAGTCGAACCGCAGCGGTGGCGGGGTGCCCGCTCGACTCATGTCTATAGGATCGTCGGCTGATGATGTTGGGGCCACTTTCTTTTTCTTTGCACCCTTTTGCCCAACAATCGGCTAGTAACGTATAAAAAAATCGTTTATATTTGTCGTATTCAGATGTCTATATAAAGTTGGAAATCCAGCTAAAAGAAGTCCTAAACTGAGGGTGGAAAAATTGTTGGACTTTTTTTTTTATTAAGCAGATTTGTGATTTTATTTCCGTATGTCTATTAATAATCAGTGTAAAAAAATTATTACACAGGATGAAAAGTAAAAACGCTATACTATGCTGTGTAACACAGATTAGCACTATACGAACTATTATTGCACTCGCAATGAGACCAAGAAATGACAGAGACAACTTATTCGCCGTTTTTTTTTTGTATCTGTTCATTTTAAATATTCTTTTCAGTATAAGAAGTTGATGGTAAGTAGGAAATAAGTATATTCAGAATTCTGCTGTATTATGATCTAATATGTTTTCAGATTTTTTTTCTAGTAAATTAAGATTTATACTTATACAACAATAAATAAAACAATTGAGTGAGAATTGAAATTTGAAACTATGTAAGGTAAGAAATGAATACATTGTATTAGGTGTTCTATGGCTGAAAAGGTTATCGATTGTTATAATTTATTGGCAATAAATGAAAAATAATATCGTTACAACTGCATTCATATTTTTTCCCTATATGACTGTCATGATTATGAGCTATTCATGACTTTGCGTAAAAATGCAAAAGTAATGGACAACCACAATATATACATAGCTTGCACCTTTTTGCATCAACGCTTTTTTTAGGCAAAGGAACAAAAAACAGTCAGTGTTACTATTAAAGTAAATTAATATTTTTGTGAATTTTTTACCGACACATGGTTGTAATTTATTGTCAAAATGAATCAAATTAAAGAATTAAATGTTTATATATTATATTGAATCTCCCAAAGTTAATTTTATTAAGAAAATGTTGGCTACCTTTCTGACATATAAACTCTTTGCTAAGATTTAAAAAAGTATCGTTCGTTTCTAGACGGAACATAATAAGCCGTGCGTTTTACTTTACATTACCGCACGCGTGTGTAATGTGATAGATTATGATATTGAAATTGGTGCAATAAGAGACGCTTTACGAGCAAATGTGTTATAAATAACTTATTTTACTATAAACGTAGCGAATAGACCGGCTGGTAAGCCGTCAACTCGTATGCCCCTTAAAGTATTGTCACAAACGCTCTCGAAAAACGTAACCGCGAAAGTGCTAAAGATCGAATTTGCCAGAACACCGTGGGTAGCGATAGAGGTCGAGTAATGCGGCTTATTCTAAAATGAGCCTTATGCAGTGTGGCGTAAGGGAGAAAGTGCAACGACATCTACTCTTGTTTACAAGTTATGCGCGTTACCTGCGTAGGTATAAGTAGGTACTTTGTACTCGCGGGTGCTAGCTAATTCTCAATTGAACAGATACTTTCTAGAATGCGTCGATCAGCGTATATAAGCGCGATTGGCGCCGCGCAGAGACAGTTGAGTTTCAACAACGATTTCGGAGCGAATCCAAAGGCGATCAAAGTGCAACAAAAGTGTTCAAGTGAGATTGTTTAGAGACTTGTATAGTGAAATACAGTGTTTAGTGAGTGTTTTGTAATTAACATTGTGTGTTAATTGTGTGAACTGTGTTGTGAATAAAGAACTGTCAAGCGTGAACTGGCATATAATTTCGAACCCCATCCCGACACGTAACAGTATATTATAAATAAAAAAGATAATCATACCATTAAAGTGAATCTTACCTGTTTCCTAGTAACGCCGGTGGTGGCGGGTCGAGTGGTAGCAGTAGTAGCGGGCCGAGACGTCGGAGCGGAACCGGAAGCGGGCGCGGCAGTAGACCCGCTAGTAGCGGATACTGCCGACCAGTATACTGCCGAGTCTAGTCTGCGCACTTGTTCTAGCTGCGGGTTAGAACATTATGAGAAAAATATATTATAACTAGCTGTGCCCCGCGCTGATGCCCGCGGCTTTATTAGGGATATTTTCCCGCAGTAAAACGTACGCTATGTCCAGCCCCCCCCTTTTTTTTGTGACGCAGACAAAAATTCTGTTTACAGACGACGGCGCCTTTAAGCCAACGCCGAACGGACCTTACACCTGGCTCCCGTGGCTGCCCACTGAGGACCCCGTAACTCTTACGGGCGCTTTACGGCATAATATCCGCTAAAAAACCCTGCGAATACACTCTAAGCTGCTTAGCGCGAAACCGCGGGATCCCCGTTTAGGGATTCTTCTTCGTCATCGTACCAAGCAGCCTCCCGGCCAAGTCGGGGCTCCACGGCAGTGGTCTCCAGAGGTATTGCGAGGACCCCGCAGACGTGCGCTGGATGGCCCGCGCGTGGAGGCATGTCCAGCCCTCCTAGCACAAGCACCACGATATGATATATAACGTGTTTTCATCACGCTCAATTGTCAAATTACTATGGAGTTTGACAGTAAGACGCGATAAGAAACGTGCTATAATATAAATTGTAGTGCTCATGCTACGGGGGCTGGGCGTCAGCCAACACCATATTAAATTTTATTAAAATCGCTCCAGCCATTTAGACGTGAAGAAGTAACAAACATACACACTCACAAACATAATATTAGTGCGAGCCGAGTCTCTCCAATTACGCCGCGATGTGACATAATTAAACGCATTCCACCGACTATACCACGGCGAGTGTTCTGAGGAGTTATTCTCCCTTATCCCTCCATCACCTTTTGTTCAGAGGACCACGCGCGCTGGCCTGCCTTGCCACTTACTGTGGCCACTATTTCTAGACAAACAAAGAAATTTGGTGACTCATTTCTTTGTCGTACTATTCGCAAGTGGAATTTTTTGCCCGCGCACGTGTTCCCTCCTTCCTACAATCTGGGGTCCTTTAAGAAAGGCGTGAAGAAGCGGTTGTTAACATTCATTTACGATCATACAAATTTCTAGCGTAATGAGCTAATGAATGATAGAGACAAGAAAATCGAAACGATTAAAAATAAATATGTATAATATCCTAAGTGAAGTATGGCGTAGCGGATTTTCCGCTCGAATTGGAGCGCCCGTCTGGGAAGTAAACTCCACCTTACAGAAGACCACTAAAGAACAAGACTAGTAAAGTTCCAGGGCTCCACGGGGCAGGGGATTGGGTCCGGGTAGGCAATGGTGAGAGTGATATTTTTGATATCGCAAACGACTATAGACTATGGTGGCCGGTTACCATCAGGCAGGCCATACGCTTGTTTAAACATAAATTTGCCAGCCTTTTAAAATAAAAAAAACTCTTAATTCCTCTGATTAGGCGACATCTGAAAACAAAAAGATCATTAAAACATTGTTACAGTTCTCTATAAGACACGTACCTGTGTAGTGAGCTCCTTGACTTTCTTCTGTGCTGTTCTTAAATCTGTTAGTACGTTCTCTTTCTGACAAGCCATGTTCTCTCTCGCTTCGCGCTCAGCCTCGAAATCAGTCCTTAAAGAGATAAAAAAAAATGACAATACATCAAAAATCTGCAATAGATTTAGAACTTTCATCTTAACCGAAAAGGCTGAAATTTAAATGGGTAAATTTACAGTCTTTGACAGCTGACCTGCCGTAGAACTAAAGTGGCTATAGGCAATGAGGGTTTCCTGAAATGACGGGTGCCAGGTGGCAGCACTGAGCCGAAAGGTCTCAGAACATGAACTAAAGCATAGAAGTCAATGTCCATACCATGACGTTTGAGCGTACCCTCCAATAGCCCAACAGATTAACGAAAAAAAATCAAACAGAGTATTAACCAACCAAAAAGTATTAGTGGGCAGGTTGCATTTGACATTGTTATGTGAATTGGTTAATCTGTGCCTGAAAAACTATCTATGTTTGAGCTACATTCATGTAATCAGTGAAGCAGATCCATCTCTTTTGATCATTGGTGTGCAAGATGATGGATGTATAGCTATGGCTAGTTGATTATTAATAAAAAAATAATGTAGTACAAGTTGATTAATAAATATAATGAACTAGCTGAGCTAGATCGGTTTTTTATTCAGTAACTAGGTAACTTAGGTATCCAATTTGACGTTACAAGCCCTACAAAGGTATCCAATTCGACGATTGTATGGCGGCTCTTAACAAAATATCAATATGAAACGACTATAGGAGTTTAATTTAAACTATTTTTATGCTTTACTTATTGATCTGAGAATGAGCCGAAAGGTTTACTTATCAGTCTATTCGCATAGGCTGTCTAGGTCTTTGAACAAAAACTTCACACAAATGACCTTATGCCACAGTGTCGCCAACTGGTGACGTAAATTTTCTTAAACACCCTCATTGAATAATATTGAGGTAATTTTTTCATTTGTGTGATTCATCAAATATTGGGCTTTGTATTGTAAACTTTTATCAATTGACAAGTGTAACTACCGTTTAATTGCCCTACTTTTACATGCAAGTAAAATTCCACCACCTTTAAAAGTCCACTTATATCTGTTTTGATGATTTCTCAAACTACGTTTTTATTTTCGAAGACAGCAAGAGCTTCCATTTAGCTACCTTCTATTTTCCGCTTAGGCTTCTGTCAAACACATAATAATACTCCCAATCAGCTACTTTCTATTCAATGCTTAGGCTTCTGTCAAACACATAATAATACTCCCAATCAGCTACTTCCTATTCTGCGCTTAGGCTTCTATCAAACACATAATAAAACTCCCATTTAGCTACCTTCTATTCTGTGGTCAGGCTTCCATCATACATATAATAATAATCCCATTTAGCTACTTTCTATTCTGCGCTTAGGCTTCTGTCAAACACATAATAATACTCCTATTTAGCTTCTTTCAATTCTGCGCTTAGGCTTCTATCAAACACATAATAATACTCCCATTTAGCTACTGTCTATTCTCCGGTGCGACACTGTCACTTATGCAAAAAAAAAATTTTTCATGATGAACGTTTAAAACTTTAACATCCCAAAACATAAAATATTTAAAGATTTTTACGTGATGAAAAGCTTATACAGCTTAGCTATTCATCTAAAAAAAAATTAAAAAAAACTTTAAATATTGTATGTTTTGGGATGTTAAAGTTTTAAACGCTTCTCCTGAAAAAAATATTTTTTTGCATAAGTGACAGTGTCGCACCGGAGGTGCGATATTATAATAATATCATATTTAAGCTATTTTCTATTCTGCGCTTAGGCTTCCGACAAACACATAATAATACTCCCATTCATCTACTTTCTATTCAGAGGCCGAAGCACGAATTTTGACAGCTCCGTGATCGTATCCTCATCGTCAAATTTAGAATGGAAGGAGCCAATTTGCTCTTACGTCCGCTAGGGGTTACATAGAACTCTTCTTAGTTTTCATAGAAACTTTGACGATACGATACTTTGTAGTTACAAAAGGAAGTAAAAAGATACAGACCTGTACAATTCCAATTGTGCCTTCAATAAAGTCGTGTCTTCCTTATCGTTTTTCAGCGTTCTCATTTCAGCCTGTAAGGTCTGCAGCTCCTGCCCTCTGGCGACGAGGGCCGAAGTCAAAGCCTCCACGTTGGGACTGGGCGGTTTCTGGCAACAAAATATATTGAAAATGAAAAGAAAATAAAATACATATTTTTTGGAACTAATAAAAGTTATAATTTAGGTTCGTTAATAGCTATATTAGTTTATAGAACTGTTTTAGAACAGCTATTTGCACCCACCTCCAGATACAGAGACGTGTGTTCCATAATATTTTCATAAATAAATAAAAATTATAATCCTTATCCTACTCACAAACTAAGAAACATGTATGTATGTATGAGTGTGTGTCTTTATGTGCATGTGGTACGTGTGTGTATATGTATGTGTGTTTGTGTGAGTGATGATGTACTTAAGTGATTGTTGCATATGATTTCACATATGTGAACGAGTATTTATTTAATTTGATTAATATTAATATACATACACTAAAGTGCTGTATATATATACTATAAAGACTATGCGTATTTGAAATAACACTTACAATCTCTTGCTTTGTAAGGTTCTTCTTCAAAAGTTCATTGTAGTCTTTGAATATTCCTTCAAATATCGATAGAGTACTTTTGACTTGGGCTCTGTAAAAAAAGAAAAGATTAAAAAATTCAATTTCAATGTTGTTGTAAAAGTATTTATTTACAGTATTACAATACAGAAAATTAAATTACAATTACTTAAAAAGTAACAAATGTATAAATGTATAATGTAATGTATAATGTAGCTAATATATATACATATACAGTGGTGGTCGCATAATTAAGACACACATGTTGTACCAGGTGAATAAGACTATGGCGACAAAACAGACATAATATATATATGTTCAGAGACGCTTGTCTCAAGTGAATGGTTCACTCGCGCTCACATTGGTCTCAACTGGTCCGAGATGTGTGTGTGTGTAAAATACTCACATATGGTTGAGGGAGGCGCTGTGTTGTTTCTCCAAGTGATGCCGGAGATCTCCGAGACAAGCTTTGAACTCTTCCACAGAACTCTTGTCTAACTTCACTTCAAGCAGGCTTGATGCCACGCCCATCGCTTCCACCAAGCTATCAGTTAATCTGAGACAAACAATGTATTCATTTGATAATGATAAGCGGATGGAAGAGCTCGATGGCGCATGTGGTTAGCGCGTTCGGCTGCGATCGTTGAAATTAAGTTATTTTCGCAATGGTCGGTCATTGGATGGGTGACCAAAAATTTTCTAGCTCGAGCTCCTCCGTGCTTCGGAAGGCACGTGAAGCTGTTGTTCCCAGCTGCATCTGCAGTCGTTAGCACCCACCAATCCGCACTGGGCACGAGTGGTGGGTCATGGCCCAATCTCCCTATTCCATCCATAGGGAAGACCTGTGCCCCAGCATGGGGACATTAATAGGCTGATGATGATGTATGATGATGAAGCGGATGTTAGCTTATTGGTTTACCATTGTTTATTGACTAAACTCAAAGGAAATACCTGATATAATCTTGAATTAAAATTTTGAAATTACTTAATACTTTAGACCATTGCCAGGTGTCCATACCATTCAAAAGCTATCATGAGTGCAATCATTATGAGTGATAAGAGTGATGAATGTGTGCAAAACACTGCGTCACTGTTTAATAATAAGGGCATGGACCAATGGTAAGGAGGACAAACTTTTTACAACAGCAGAGTAATGGTGAATTCAGTAACAACGGGTACTAAGCTACTCAACAAACTTTCACTATCAATGAAATTAATTTTTATGAAAGGTTTATAATTTAATGAAAAAAGTTATTGTGTGTAATAGAAGCCTGAGAACAAAAACTATAGTCTACACTACAGCTCTACACCGAAGGGAAGCCCCTCGCTTCGTAGTTCGGGCCAGTAGTTTCCTATATATTTACTAGCTGACCCAGCCAACTTCATACCGCCATAAAAAAAAATAGGGGTTGGTGGTAGAAAGTTGAAAATTTAGGGATGTATGTATTTTTGTATGATGTATCATAAAAAAAATAAAAAAAATATATCTAAAATTGAAAAAAAAAATTAGAGGTGGATTACCCTTAACATTTACGGGGATGAAAAATAGATTTTGTCCGATTCTCAGACCTACCCAATATGCACACAAAATTTCATGAGAATCGGGAAAGCCGTTTCGGAGGAGTTTAACCACAAACACCGCGACACGAGAATTTTATATATTAGATTTAATGTTAAGAGGGTGGGAAACAAGCATATGTCTCTCCAGATGGTGAGCTGCCACCATAAACTATAGACGGTTGTAACCAAATATATCATTCGCACTGTTGCCTACCTTGACCCAATCTCCTACCTCCTATCTATATATATAAAACTCAAAGGTGACTGACTGACATAGTAATCTATCAACGCACAGCCCAAACCACTGGACGGATCGGGCTGAAATTTGGCATGCAGGTAGATGTTATGACGTAGGCATCCGCTAAGAAAGGATTTTGATCAATTCTACCCCGAAGGGGATAAAATAGGGAATGAAGGTTTGTATGAAACTTTGTCAATTTTAAACCGATCGGGCTGAGACTTTGCATGCAGGTATAAGAAGAATCAATCACGTAGATGAATGTCATTGTGTATAATACAAGCCTGAGAACAAAAACTGTAGTCTACACTTCAGCTCTACACCGAAGCAAAGCGAGGGTGGGCCGCTAGTCCTAAATAAACAAATCTACCCAAAAAATAAAATAATTAAACGAAATCAACATAGCTTAAATAAAACAAAACAAGATATAAAATGATTCGGACAGAAGTCTGAAGAAAGCTAGTTATCATCATCATCATCATCAGCCTATTAATGTCCCCACTGCTGGGGCACAGGCCTTCCCGGTGGATGGAATAGGGAGATTGAGCCATGACCCACCACGCAGGCCCAGTGCGGATTGGTGGGTGCTAACGACTGCAGATGCAGCCGGGACCAACGGCTTAACGTGCCTTCCGAAGCACGGAGGAGCTCGAGATAGTAATTTTTGGTCACCCATCCAATGACCGACCACTGCGAAAGTTGCTTAAGTTCAACGATCGCAGCCGAACGCGCCAACCACTTGCGCCATCGAGCTCCTCAAGAAAGCTAATACCCAAACAAAAAATGTAAGGAGTCACAGGACGCCTGACAGTTGTGAAACACTAGCCGGTTTACGATAAATACACTCGGAGAATTGCTCTCGATGCGTGCGGTAAAAATGGCATAGGTCCTTCCTCGAAGGGCGCTGGCGCCGTACTGATCGGCGAGTAGCTGGTATATATTGCATTTAACAGGCGAGCGTCGCCACGCCACAAATCGGTTTTACGTGCGCCAAAAGACGTTTCATATCAAAAAAAAACTCCTACCCCATGGAGCCCTTCACACCTACAGAAACACAACACCACCAAAAGGTATTGTTATTTTACTGTGGTCTTACTGTTCGCTTTAATTCGAGCGGAAAATCCGCTATGTTCTTTCCTTTCCTATTTAGCTGCCATCAGCAAAACCCCCAAAATCCACTTACCCGAGAGTAAGGGCGTTGAGCAGATCGGCCAAGTGTTTGAGCGATCGATCGTACAACTTCACGTTAGTCATTAGACTGGCGCATTCCGATGCAGTTGACGGCGTCTCTGTATCTACGCCCAGAGACACTCGCACAGGTTGGAATACCTGATGACAATAATAATAATCTATACATATAATAAAATGGTAGGAAAGTCAAAACTGTATATTGAACTTTGTTTTTGAAAAGAATACTTGGGGTGTGATCTATAATCGATACCGAAGCCAAAAATATAGTTTTTAGATTTTTGTCTGTCTCTATGTACGAGTATGTCCGAGATAAACTCAAAAAGTACTGCATGATTTTACTTCAATTTGGCACGAATATTATTAAGAAGTCGGGTCAACATATTATCACTATATCACCTAAGGTGAACGAGCAGTGAACCTTTATTTCTAACTAACTCCACGCGTACGAAGTCGCGGGCGGCCGCTAGTTAATTAATATTTCTATCAATCACACCAATGAGTGTTTTTCGGAATGACGGGCACCAGGTGGCAGCACTTAGCCAAAAGGTCTACTCATCCATGGAGGTTAGAGAGAAGGAGAACGATCGCTGTACAAAATAGTGTCCCAGAAATTAGGACAAAATAAGTGAGGCGCTGCGATAGCTAATTTGTCTCAATAAAAGCGGGCTGTTGTGCGCTAATTGGAAATGAACAATGTCGTGAAGAAAATTTGAACATTATTGGACTAACTTCATCTACTTGTACTCATAAACAGCTAACTTCACAGATACTATTTACCGACGGCGGCGCGGCTGGTGTCTAAAAATGAACTTTATAGTTCTACAAATTATCAGGGACAGGCGGGCTAATGCTTTAGCACGTAGGGATCGTTCTCCTTATGTCTAACCTCCATGTACTCATCTGTCAAATGGTGTACGTCTTCATAGTCTATGGACTGATTTAAATGTTAGTTGAATTAGTTCGCGCCAAAAACTTCAAACTAAACACCTCTTGTAACAGTGGCGCCAACTGGTGACGTAAACTAAGCCTAGCCCCAAAATAAACACTTTGACCCCTTGTTTACACAAAGGTTATAATACATGTATTTATCAAATTTCATACAATGTCTTTTTTTATAGCCCGGTAGGCAAATGTCTCTACCCCACCTGATGTTAAGTGGTGATAAAGTCCAATCGCGAAGATAATAGGTATATATGTATATACAAGTATAAAACATGTAGTATACAGTAGTAGTATACATACTTGCATCAAACTTTGTTGTATAAACAAAAAATGAGAAGTAGCTAAGTGAGTTATACTTGTGTCACAAACGCTCTCGAAACGGAACCGCGAAAGTGCTAGAGATCGAATGTGCCAGAGCACCGCGGGTCGCGATAGAGGTCCAGTAATGCGGCTCATTCTAAAATGAGCCTTATGCAGTGCGGCATAAGGGAGAAAGTGCAACGACATCTGCACTTGTTTACAAGTTATGCGCGTTACCTTTACCAAATATATACTTTTTATCCATTTTGTACTTTACTCACCGTAGTTTGGGCTTCTCTCAGTCTGTCGTTTAATTCTTGTAACTGTTCCTTGTATATTCTCACTGTTTCAGAGACACCCGATTTGTGCTTTGTGTATTCCAACTGTGGGAAAAAAACACTTTAGTAACTACTGATCTGAGGCGAGGATGAATTTAGACAACTACGTAATCGTAACGCATCGTTAAAAGTTTCTATGAAAACTATCGAATATAAGAACATTTTTTTTTGTTTTAGTCTGCAGCCCGCAGTCTCGATTTTTTTTATTAAAAACTTCTTTACGTGCGGGTTGAAATCCTATGGAAAACATGGAACGGAAATGCGTCACGAGCGTCACACGACTATATAATTATATGTGTGCGTGTATGTGTGTGTGGGATGCATGCGCAGCTCTTCCCGACGAGCATGAAAGTTGGAGGGTAACTCGGCAAAGGCTGCTATATCTTATATATAAAATTCTCGTGTCACAATGTTAGTTACCATACTCCTCCGAAACGGCCTGGCCGATGTTTATGAAATTCTATATGCATATTCCATGGATCTGAGAACCGGCTGCTATCTATTTTTCATATCCGTGTGTGGTTGTCCACCTGTAACGTAGTGTTCTGAAACCTACAATGCGCCTTTGCGCCAAATTAAATTCAAACTATTAGGTAGAGGAATGTTATCCCAGGAAATTGATAGAACACTACGTAACACAACCCAAAATTTATTTTTTTGGACAATATTTATTTTTTTATAGTGTGGTATCAAAAAATACATACAACCCTAAATTTTCTCTTCTAGCACATGCCCCTATTTTTATGGCGGTACGAAGTTTGCTGGGTCAGGTAGTATATATATCGCACCTCCGGTGCGACACTGTCACTTATGCAAAAACATTTTTTTTCAGGATGAGCGTTTAAAACATTAATATGCCAAAACATACAATATTTAAAGATTTTTACGTGATGAAAAGCTTATACAGCTTAGCTATTCATCTTAAAAAAAATAAAAAAAAAAACTTTAAATATTGTATGTTTTGGCATGTTAAAGTTTTAAACGCTTCTCCTGAAAAATGATTTTTTTTGCATAAGTGACAGTGTCGCACCGGAGGTGCGATATATATATATTTGATGCGTGAGCTGCTCCAATCCCTTATGCCTCATGCACCGCCTAATGTTAGATTATTTAAGAAAAGAAGTTCACTTCAGACGTAAGGTCCGCGCATACTAATTGTATTATTTACAGAATTAAAAACCAAGTTTGTAATACAACAAATATTCAAGTAGTACAAGTAAATAGATAGATCATTACAAACTGAACATCAATGGTCACCAATATGTATGTATAAGTAGGTATTACGATTTCCGTGAAAAATAATTACTCGTATAATTACAAGGTTAACAATAACAAATAATAATTCTAAGGTTAGTGAATACAGTATTTATAAGTAGGTAAAATTAGATTAGTAAGGCTTAGGGTGTCTTGTGATGTGTGTATGTAATCGTACTAACGACTTTATGTAATAATAAGCTTACTTTTATGTAACAATAAGTTTTATATTTGTGTGTGTGTGTGTGCGCGTGCACGTGTGCTTCTGCTTGTGCGTGTGTGTACGTGTGCAAAAATTTCAAACTAAAAGTTTAATGGTAAAGGAGACCCGGCACTTTTCATAGAAAAAATGCTAAACTTGTATACAGTTGAATTTGGTCTCAAAATAAAGCCAAAATTATTTGCTACATAAAACTACTTTTGCCTTATTTTTAGTGAATCGTGGAAAAAAGTTATTTAATGATTAATATTTTTTGATATAGAAACCCTTTTGATGACAAACCTACGTATTTGACATTGACAACTAGCTGCTGATGACAAATATTGCCAGACTACGTTACCCAATTATGAGACATAGATAAAAAAATTAAAAAAGTATACAACTTTGGCACAAATTGTCGGGTGTTAACCTTCTTTCTAGTAAAATTTTCTTTACATCTACGAATAGTTTAATACTCAGAATAAAAATATAATAAACTAAAGAAAATATAACTAGAAAAAATTCCACGCGGACCAGGCAGCAGACGGGACTCGAACCCGCACCCTTCGCAATCCGGGCGAATGCACTGACCAATTATGCTTATTATTAATGCTTTAAAAATAATAAAAAAAAAAATATAAATATAATAAACTAGCTTAATATATTCTCTTTAATTATCTTTTACCTTAACATTCTCCAGTTCCAATATCCTGAGCTGTGCGTTCTTGAGTTCCGTCTGCAGCGTGGACATCTTGCCGTCCAACTGCTGTATGATGGAGTCGCGTTTCAACAACTCTTCTGAGGGAATGCTGGACTGGACAAAATATATATTTATTATGCAAAGTTTTTTTGATGTGTAACTTCTTTCCTTTCGCTTTCGTGCAATTTGTGGGAGTGATTACGTGAAGTGGGACGGAACTGTGTAACAGGAAGTTTGGGAAGCGCGCGCTATCAGATTTGATTTTAGAACATAATGTTCAAATGGCTTATTCCTTTTGAAGTAGGTTTTATTTCTTTTTTTACTAATATAAGGTGAGGTTTCAAATGTTACACATCATACGCGACTACAGTAAGGCTCGCTCCTTTTTTTCTTCCAAAGGTATGAGATGCAGAATCACTTTGTTGCCATAGATATAGATAAAGGACTGAGCGATACTAGCATCAAATTGAAAAGTCTAGCAAGAGACAAATTTATATTATGTATCGGTTATCCGATACATACGAAATAGGACCCTACCGCTTCATCAAGTATATTTTCATCCCACCACCTCGGAAAGTGTAATTTTGCGCTTCGAAATCTGGCTGGAAAATTCTATTTTATTCGCTTGAGCGGCAAAGTAGATTTGAATTTAGAACATCACATATAATGAGTACTCAATATAATTGTAAATTCAAAGCGTCATTAAACCTATTTAATGTAACCTCTATGGTGCCAAATTTATGATTAGAACTTTTTAAATTGTGAAAAAATTTAAATTTGGAACCTTCTTGGTTTCTTTGTTTTATTTGCGTGCTTCGCGCCATTCTAGTTTTTCACGTTTTATTGCTTAAATATTTTGTCATTATAAATTGTTTTCTTTTTCATTTTGTCATTTCCTCGCTGAGGTGGGATGAAAAGTTACGTATTGCACTCGAGTGGAAAGATTTTTCACCTTGTGCTCGTTTGTTTCCCTCGCTGACGCTCAGGATTCTAATTTAGAATCACTCGCTGCGCTCGTGATTCAACTTTAGAATCCTTCGCTTGCTCGGTCATCCAAATCGAGCACGCGGTTAAAAAGGAACTTTCCACTCTTGTATAATAAATAACTATTGACAGTTGGTGAGAGAACGAGCATCCATTCTCTTATGTCTAAGTTTGCATTTAAATGGAACACCACAGAGAGAGGTATGATTTAAAAGCCTTAAAAAAATAGAAACTTTAAATAAGTAAGAAATCATAATTAGGTGTACACACTGACTGGCTTTTCAGTGTGCTTTCCTACAATGGGCCTGCTGGAAGAAATTTCAGGTTGAACTAAGCTCAGTGTTACCAACCCTAACCAAAATTTTACCCTAAGTATTTTTAAATATTCCCCTAAAATCCCCTAAATATAGAAATTTATATGTACCTACTTAAAAAAGCCCTAAATAAGTCCGTTTCAACCCTTCTAGCCCCTAAATCTGGGGGCAAAACCCCTAAGTTGGGAACCGTGACTAAGCTGCGCCCTTGTACTATTATCTTATTTTGTAATCTCTTTCTATTTATATTTGTGTGTACAAAATGTATAAATAAATAAATAAAAAATAAGTTTTCGAAAGACCTAGTGATATTGAATGAATGAATGAATGATCACTTTATTGTACACCAAGATATTTCAAATTACAATTAATTAAAAGTGATATTTCAAGTTTAATTTGTAAAATACTGGAATTACATTTTTCGAGGAAAATATTTTACGCAGGCGAAGCAGCGAGAACTTACTAGTTTCATATTTTGTGTGATACTTACGGCTCCGCTAGCTGTCAGCTTGGTTTGCAAGTCTTGTATGGTGGCTTTCAGAAGCCCCACCTGAGCCAAAGATTCGTTTTCTTTGCACGACATTTGGTACTGAAACAATAAGTAAATGATTTATTAAATTATCATTGATTGCAGATGATTCAAGAAAAGAGATAAAAGTAACATACTCCTTTATGTCTAAAGAAAATTTTACTAAACAAAATTCCACGCGGGCCAGTCAGCAGCAGATGGCCATCAGGGCGCGGTTGCATAATGGTCAGTGCATTCGCGCGGATAGCGAAAGGTGCGGGTTCGAGTCCCGTCTGCTGCCTGGACCACATGGAATATTTTTTTGTAACATTTCCTTTTGATTTAAAACATCTAGTTAAATGCTTAAATTTTTTAAATACCTTGTCCTTTATCAAGATGAAGAGTTCAATAGATATTAAATGGATGATATATATTTTTAAATAAGTACCTTACTTATAAAGAATACAGTCAAATAATTCCTACACCTTTTTGAAGTCGGTTAAAATTTTTAGGTACCTATAGGTTGATACGCAGAGTAATCTAGCAAAAAACCAACAATAGGCCTATCACCTTTAAAATCTTATTACTACTCAATCTCAATAGTCGTTAAGGCAATTTAATTAACAGTTTAGTACATTTAGATAAACATTAGGTAAATTACCTAGGTTGACATATCATTGATTCGGAACCTGTTTTAGCGATTAGCGGTGGATTAGCATCCTATCACTATTACAGAGATAACGAACAATTAGGCCCAATCATTGACATTTTTTCTGACTCACGTGAAGATTGAGCAAATATAGTATAAGAGAATTTCCCGATTTAATAAGAAACGCCGGTAGATACGTATGTTTTTGTAGAAATATCAGCTATGACTCAGGTACAAATAATAACGATCATCATACAAGCCGCTACCAGGATTCGATCCCAGTATCTGAAGAGTAAGCGAGTCTTAAAACCGCTGAACATATCAATTCACTGTACCTCCAAATTATGAAATTTCTCCTTCAGTTCATCCCTCTCTTTGGATGTGGCGTCCACGATGTGTTCCAGAGATTCCTTCTGCCACGTCAGTTTCTCATTTTCTATTAAAACCTGCAAAAAATATTGTTTACAGACATTGTTACATTTTATCTCACTATATATTGTTTTTAAACTTTCATGGTCACTAACATTATAGTAATATAAGTTATTTACGGGATTGTTACCATGTACCTTGTTTTTAGCGAGTTTCCGATATTTCGGCACTGTTGCAAGCGCCATGATCACGGAGTAACTGGCCGAACAACAGTGCCGAAATATCGGAAACTCGCTAAAAACAAGGTACATGGTAACAATCCCGTAAATAACTTATATTACTATAATTATCTCACTATGTATTCAATTATGAAATCCCCTAAGAGTACACGTGTTCCCTCCTTCCTTACAACTCGAGGACCTTTAAAATATCGTGGCTAAAGTGGGACTTATATTTCCAACCGGACTCCATTCCCAGATCAGATGGAGATGATCCCAGATGGATGGCGATGGAGCCCGGCAACAATCGTACATATCCCATACCAACAGCTGCGAGGTTCGATAAGGGAACGATACAACACAATGAATACTGGGCTGAACTTGCAGACTGCAGGCATGCCAGGGAAGCCATACCCAAGGTAGACTCACATCTAGTAAGTTTTGCAAGCTTCCAAGACAAGCTTTGAAACAAATTGTGAGCATCCTCACAGGACATGGACACTTTAATAAACACCTCTTTAAAATAGGTGTCTCGGACAGTGCTTTGTGCAGAGCCTGCATGGAGGAGAAGGAGACGAGCATTCACGTCTTGCAACAGTGCAGAGATGTGGCCAGACAAATGGTGACACACCTGGGCATCCCGCAGATGCTGCTTACTGGGCTGGACTTGCAGACTGCAGGCATACCAGGAGACCCATACCTAAGGTTAATATATAGTAAGCTAGTAAGTTTTGCTAGCTACCAAGACACGCTTTAAAACCAATTGTGAGCAGCCTCACAGGACATGGACACTTTAATAAACATCTCTTTAAAATAAGTGTCTCGGACAGTGCTCTGCACAGAGCCTGCATGGAGGAGAAGGGAGACGAGCATTCACGTCCTGCTACAGTGCAGAGGTGTGGCCAGACAACGGATGACACACCTGGGCAGCCCCCAGACGCTGCTTGCTGGGCTGTACTTGCAGACTGTAGACATGCCAGGGAAGGCATACCTAAGGTAGACCCACAGCTAGTAAGTTTTGCAAGCTACCAAGACAAGCTTTGAAACAAATTGTGAGCATCCTCATAGGACATGGAGACTTTAATAAACATCTCTTAAAAATATGTGTCTCGGATAGTGCTCTGTGCAGAGCCTGCATGCAGGCGAAGGAGACGAGCATTCACGTCCTTGAACAGTGCAGAGATGTGCCCAGACCACGGATGACACATCTGGGCAGCCCGCAGACGCTGCTTACTGGGCTGGACTTGCATACTGCAGGCATACCAGGAGCCCCATACCTAAGGTTAATATATAATAAGCTAGTACGTTTTGCAAGCTACCAAGACAAGCTTTGAAACAAATTGTGAGCATCCTCACAGGGCATGGACACTTTAATAAACATCTCTTTAAAATAGGTGTTTTGGGCAGTGCTCTGTGCAGAGCCTGCATGGGGGAGGAGACGAGCATTCACGTCCTGCTACAGTGCAGAGGCGTGACCAGACAACGAATGACACACCTGGGCAGCCCGCAAATACTGCTCGAGGCCTGTTGGGACACAAAGAGACTGCCGAGCTTCTTGGAAGCTGGGACGGCATGACTTAAGCCATCCTCTCACGCAAAAAAGGCACCTGGTGTCGAGTTGCGGAAAGAACCCACCGTACAGAAGAAGATCAGGTGGAGCATAACGATAATTTAGGAAATGTATAAAAAAGAGAAACTCAGCTAACTACTGAACCTTAATGTAGCATATGTGCATGGAATACTGCTCCCACCTGTGGGATTGATCCCCCCGCTACGAGCTTGAAACCTTGGAAACTAATGACAGACGAGCTAGGAAACTCATTACCGATGAAGTATTCACAACCAGACGGGTATAAACCCGCGAACATCGCCGCCTGATTGCATGTCACAAATCGAGGAGTGTGCACAAGAACTGTTCGAAAGAATTCCGCCTGCATAATTTTATCATCGGACGACGAGACGTAGACAGTCTTCATCCGTACGTGGTTGACATACATCCCCTGCGTCTGTATTAGCCGATTCATATAATTTAATGTTCTTTAAGGCAAGAGTAAAAAGAATTATTTGAGTTTGCTTTACATCAAGTTAGATGCGACTGTGGATAAACACGCTCAAATCTTTTTTTAAAAAAAGAAGAAGAAAATATGCTCACCTGCCGCCTCTGCTTCTCGATTAGTTCTAATTGCGCGGTCAATTTATTGATGGTATCATCGTCTGGCGACGTCACGAATTCGACGCCCGACGACGGACCGGAGCGAGCACCCGACGAGGGGCCGGAGCGGGCGCCCAACGAGGGGTCCGATCGGTTGGCCAACGAGTCGGGCGTCTGCGTCTCCGTTTCGGACGAGCGCAGCAAGTCCTGCTTCAGTTTCCTGTTCTCGTTGCGCAGCTAGAAACGTCACCATTGATTTGACAATCCTACTTTATTCTACTAATATCATAAATGTGAACGTTTGTATTGTTACGTGCTGAGATGGGGTTCGCATTTAGAGAGCCAGTTTACCCTTGCGGCTCTATTCTCACTACACAGTTCATTATTAAACATACTATTCTACAGTCACTATCATAAATTATTTCTTTCTTTCACTTTATGCTACACATATAAGTCCTTATACAATTCCACACGAACACTTGCACTTTGATCGCCTTTGTAATCGTTCCGAAATAGCTGTCTACTGCGCGGCGCCGAATTATATACGCGATTGGCGCATTCCAGAAAAGTCCGGTTAAATTGAGAGTTCACTAGTGTTTCAGATTTCATTGTATATTCACGCTTACGCCGCACTACTAAAGCTCATATTTTAATGGACCGCACCACGTCGGGAGCCCCGGTGTTCTAGGTAAATCTGTTTCCAGTGTGTTCATGGTGTTGGTTCCAGAGCGTTCGTGACAGTATGTTTGTTACTTGGTCACGCAAGCACGGCTGAACGGATTTGGATGAAATTTGGCAAAGATATATTGTTTTACCTGAATTGAGATCCTTTTATACCGGAAAAAAAATTACGAAAGCTAGTTTAATAAATAAATGGCAAACCAGACAGATCAAATATCAATTTTGTGCCAGTCTTTGCACTTTGGACACTAGATAACAGAATAAGAAATGAGTCAGGAGCAAATATTTATTCTCATACACACAAACGAATACAGGGCATTCTGAAGTTAAAGGTAGGATTGCTGCCGACACTATGATCTATCCATTATGATTTGGTTTGAGATAATGATTAATCACATTATCCTGATTTATATGACACACAAGGAGTTGAAGTCGCCATATCGATGGGTACAGTGGTGGACACTTACGGTGAAGCCAGTGCGCAAACCTCAGGTAACCCAACGAGCGATGGAACGTCCAATGTCGAAAATCTCGCTTGCGGATCGTATTCCTAACCTGAAAGTCTAGGAGCGCAGAGCGCACAAAAATGACAAACTTCAGCCTAGTGGTGGCCAGGTTGAAGTGGAGATGTCGATCCTGGGACGCCCCCATATGGGCGTAGGAGGGTACCGGGGGGTTTTAGTGGAGTAGGATCAGTGTGGCCTTCCGCACTGGTCCAGCTTGAGTAGGGTCGGCGCTGTTTCCCGTGCCGGCGAGTCCCACACACGCCGTGCGCCTAGTCAGCGTCACGGTATGGTGCGTAACTGCATTTCCCCTCGTCACAAAAAAAAAAAAGGTTGAAGTGGAGATGGACTGGTCACTTGATCAGGAGAGATGACGGCAGATGGACTCGTAAGATTGCCGAGTGTAGAACAAGGACTGGCCGAATGAAGGTGGGAAGGTAACCTTGCGCTGGACCGATGACATCACCGAAGTAGTGGGCAAGACCTGAATGCGCGTAGCAATCGGATCGCGTGGAGAGACCATGAAGAGGTCTATACCCGACAAAGGGTTGAAACCAGGCTTATACGAAGAAGAAGATATGTATGGGCGAAATTTCTAAGTCGGACGAGCTTATTGGTTGGGGATGTCAATATTAAAAACTATTGAAAAAACGATTTCAAAAACTAACATTTTCTTTAGATTTAAAAAATAAAAATATAACTATAATTGCTATTTCTTCTTTCAAATGTTTAATACTTGTAAAGGTATTCATTTGACATTGTGGGTTACCTACAATGCGAAGAGATGGCGCTGCCTTGCAGCCTAAGAAATACTAGAGAAAATTCGAAACGGCCATCAGGGCCGGTAGCATAATGGTCAGTGCATTCGCCCGGATAGCGAAGGTTGCGGGTTCGAGTCCCGCTTGCTGCCTGGTCCGCGTAGATATTTTTCTATAAAAAATTCTTTAGATTTAAACATATCTCAGTTAAATGCTTTAAAAACATATAACAAACCTTGTCAACCAGCACTTTCGTCTCCTCAAACTTCTCCTTGTGCAGAATTTGGGTTTTCATCATATCGTCTTGGCACGACGCTATCAACAAGAATTGCTCCTTCATGGAATCGTTGTTCCGCTTAAGAGTTTCTTTGAGGATAACATTCTCGTCCAAGAGTTCTCCGAAGCGCTTCTGAAGGTCTTCTGTGCTGCTGTCATCGGTCACTATAGTACTGGCTACCATCATACTTGCTGGTGACGGCTGGGGAAAAAAGAAGAACAGTCATTAAGACTTGTATACCCCAAAAATTTGCAATTAGCAAACAAAAGAGTAGAAACGATTTGTTGCTCGACAACAATTTAATAGCTAACGCCGCTGCGACAGACTTGAATGTAAGATTAACTAAATAAATATTTCCAACACTCACACCAATTAGCCTAGCCCCAAAGTAAGCACTGTAAGGTTGTGTTATGGGATGCTAGGGTAACGGATAGAATACATATACTGATACATATTCATTTAAGTATATTTACAGTAGAACCCGTTTAATACGATCACGCTTAATACAATTTCTCGCTTAATACACCATTTTGCGTCAGTCCCTGCACCTTAATATGTTTGCATACATTTCTTAACGCTGAATACGATTCGTCATCCCGTTTAATACGCCTTAATCACCTACACGTACCACACATACTACCTCTTGCGGCAGCGGCCAGCGATTGCCGTGACGACTGTTGAGCGACGCACGCTAAGCGACCCTCAGGGTTTTCCTGCATATTCCTCCATTGATGACAATGTGGCACAGTACCAAATTTAATCAATTCAAAATTTTATCAAGAATGTGAATAACACACAAGGCTACAATGATAATGATCAAGAAGAAGATGAATCAACTCCGATATTGTCCGCCCAGGCATTATCAGTAGTTAATAAATTAAGACGCTATGTAAATTCTTTGAATCAAAGCGAAGAAGCAAAGCAAAAGTTAATTTATGTGAAAATTTTGTAATTGCTAATGCCTCAAAATCTTTTTGTCAAACTCAAATAAGTGATTAATTTTTAATTAATTTAATACAAACGTAATAATAATACACTATTTTTTATAACGTACATAATTCTAAAATATTGTACCTATATTTAATACCTCAATACCTACATTCGAAATTTCCCTATCCCGCAATCCCGCTTAATACGCTTTCCCGCTTAAGACGCGGTTTTAGTTGAGTCCCTGTGAAATCGTCTTAAACGGGTTTTACTGTATATAGAAATACTTGTACAAATCCTCGTATTCATCACACAAACATCTGCCACCACCGGGATTCGAACCCGGCGTATAAACCACTCGGCCATGGAGGTCGTCAAAAATATAGTTTAAATGTACTTCCGGACCTGGAAATGGTCTGAAGATACCGAATGAACACGATTGCACATACACCGACCTTTTTATACACACAAAAGGAGGCCCCTTTAAGAAGCATACATTTTCATTTTTCTTTAAATCACATTTGGTGGGAGCTAGCTTTTTTTTATGAAATAAAATAAATACTTTTTTGGAAAAACGGGTAGTTCACGTCTGAAAGTAATTTAAGCATGGGATGCATTTAAACAGCATACTACGTAAATAATCCAAGCATATTATTTCTTCATTATTGAAGGATTAAACAGTGTTACAGGTAAGGCAAGTAGTAATCCAGTTGCGCTTCAGTCCTAATTGTAGGAGATGGCAGCTTTATGGCAACACGATGCAGAAAATTATTATTATTCACACTCAAAACATCACAAATAATGTACTTTTTATCAGATACGGTATCATAACATTATCAACGCCTCTATAGATAATTTATATTGAATTTCTATTTTGACATGTGTATCATATATTATTATTATTATGCTCCAGGACAGCTTTATAATGTTCTATGAAACACCAGTATATATAATGAAAGACAAACCGTTTATATAACTTGTCACAGTAAATACCCAACTAAATTTCACCACTAATTAAGTTACAATGCGAATAAAAATATACACATCAGGATAAATCAACCAGTAATTCATATTTAACAGTGAGAAAACACCTATGTATTTTACTTACAATCACTACTAAGTTTAATGAGAGCACACAGAACCGTTTAAAAGGTCAGCTCGATTTTAAGTGCATCTAAATATAATTTCAGCTTATGTGTGAGCATGGGCATATTTACCCTACAGCTTAGAGGGTCATGACTCGATGCAGCAGGCTGTAAGAGAGCGGCTGCAAGAGCTGCGAGGAGTAGCAGAAGCCGTATAATAGCATTCGGTACTGACCTACACGATGCAAATCGTAAGTGGCCCGTGGCGCCAGATTTCAAATACGCCTCCGTGTGTGAGTAAAAGCATGGTTTATTTCCCATGTGGTATGAAAACTCACCTCTGTCAGAGATCCAGAATATTGACGACAGTTCTTTATATACATCATAATGCTTAATTTACCTTGATAAATTAGATAACAAAACAAACAATGGCACTGTCTACACTATTTCCCCGTAAACCTACGACTGTAACGGCGATTTACACCGGAATACGACACCAACATAGCGGTCGCACGTAATACTGACGCGAGGGAATTACCCTCCGATGTTTGTAATACGTATTCGCTTTGTTTTCGGGTTACGTAAATATGACCACATATCTCCCTTTAGAAAACAACTTCAATGGTTGCCTATCAATTGCTTCAATGGTTGCCTATCAATGGCAGAAGAAACCTTAGAGTACTTTGCATGCTCTTCAAGCTTTTATACGATCCATGTGGTCCAGAGTACCTGAAATCTAGATTTCAATTTCTTGGCACATCCAATCAACGTGATCTTCGCTCGTGCAGAAATCTCACATTACAAATACCCGTTAATCATTCTGGCTTTGGATCCAAATCTTTCACTATCACTGCCATAAGCCTGTGGAATGCTATACCACTAAGCATACGTAGTACTGACAAAAAGTTTAAGTTCAAAAATCTTGTACACTAACTGACTACGTGATTTTTCCCTATAGTTTGTATCGATATATATTATATTTATTGTATTTTATGTATGTTATGCATATGTATGTATATATATATTTACTAGCTGACCCAGCGAACTTCGTACCGCCATAAAAAAATAGGGGTTGGTGGTAGAAAGTTGAAAATTTAGGGATGTATGTATTTTTGTATGATGTATCATAAAAAAATTAAAAAAAATCTTTATCTAAAATTGAAAAAAAAAATTAGGGGTAGATTACCCTTAACATTTAGGGGGATGAAAAATAGATGTTGTCCGATTCTCAGACCTACCCAATATGCACACAAAATTTTATGAGAATCGGGAAAGCCGTTTCGGAGGAGTTTAACCACAAGAATTTTATATATTAGATATGTGTATGTTTATGTATAGTTATATGAGTATTTTATTTAATGCATCGATTTGTATTTAAGTATTATTATTTTATTGTATAATATAAGTATTATTATGTTATTTTATGTTAATATTCATTTTATTAAATGTTTAGCAACTTTGCCCTATCGACATACTATTTTTCTTCAACACTTATACTGGTTGACTGGTAGAGAATGCCTATGGTATTAAGTCTGTCGTTTGCTTATGTTGACAATACAGTTTAAATAAAATAAATAAATAAAATACGTGTCCACTCGGATTATTTACAGAATTTCGTATAGTGCTATCTACTAACAAGCCGATACATCAAAAACATCATACATTCGATTTCACAACTCGTAGAACAAACAGTGACATAATACAAAGACAACCAAACACTTCAGCTGGAGGTCTTCTTTATTTTAATAATAAATAGATATAAATATTTCTATCACACACCAATTAGCCTAGCCCCAAAGTAAGCACTGTAAGGCTTGTGTTATGGGGTATCCCATAGCCTGTATTCTATCCGTTACCCTAGTATTAGGGTAACGGATAGAATACATATACTGTACATATTCAATCTAAATTGATAATTATATAAGTATATTTATATAGAAATACATATTAAACATCCATGACTGGAGTACAAATGCTCGTATTCATCACACAAACATCTGCCCCCACCGGGATTCGAACCTCTCGAGTTGGCGATACCATGAAACCCGGCGTACAAACCACTCGGTCACGGAGGTCGTCGAGTAATAAAAATAAATCTTGGGTTATGTTATTATGACTGCAGCGTCACGAAACTATGTACCTGTTTGTATTCTTCAGGCGATAATAACCCTAATATTATAAAGGTGAAAGTTTGTGAGTGTGTATGTTTGTTACTGCTTCACGTCTAAACGGCTGGAGCGATTTTAATAAAATTTGGTATGGAGTTAGCTGACCCACTGGATTAACACAAGCAAACACGCGGGTAACACTGCAAGGCACAGCTAGTAAAAAAAAATCTGCAACATCCTTGGCATGAATGTAGTAAACCTTCATACGAATTGATAAGTTTCCCACAGTAAAAACATGCTGTTCAAAACAATACAGTCTTACTATGTACAAAATGGAAACAACAAAGTACTACATATTTTAGCTAAGGCCTTATTTTACCTTAAAGCAAAAATTCTGTTATTCTTGAAAAATAGTCGTGGTGCCACTCATCCGATCTGAGCTCTATATCTATCTATATATATAAAACTCAAAGGTGACTGACTGACATAGTGATCTCTCAACGCACAGCCCAAACCACTGGACGGATCGGGCCGAAATTTGGCATGCAGGTAGATGTTATGACGTAGGCATCCGCTAAGAAAGGATTTTGATCAATTCTACGCCCAAGGGGATAAAATAAGGAATGAAAGTTTGTATGAAACTTTAATTCCCTATTTTATCCCCTTGGGGGTAGAATTGATCTAAATCCCTTCTTAGCGGATGCTTACGTCATAACATCTACCTGCATGCCAAATTTCAGCCCGATCCGTCCAGTGGTTTGGGCTGTGCGTTGATAGATTACTATGTCAGTCAGTCACCTTTGAGTTTTATATATATAGATAGATAGATAGACGACGTGAACCAACAATCATATTTAGGACAATAATGGATTGTCTTTCCATTTGTTGAAATTTCCTTAATTTCGAAACGACACGGTGTGAAACGATTAATAAACCTCAGCGATAAAACTTCTCCATTGTAAGATACTATTGTGAATCGATACAAAGTTGTATTTAATGTAATGGTGTTATTTTCACGGATGTCGCAGTCCGAACAAAAGGCAAAGACTGGTACTAATTCAAGGTGTTTCCTACCGATACT